GGGGCGACCGCGGAAAGTTGCGGGCCGGCGCGGGCGCGGGCCGTGTGGATCGTACCTGTATTGTTCGTGGTCTGGGCAGCGCAGGGCACGACGCGCGGCTCGGGCTCCCAGCCTCGCGCTAGCTGCCGCCACGAGAGCCGCCTGATTGGCCAGCGGGCGCCGCCGTTTAAAACAGCCTCCTCGCCTGGCCATTGGTCGCCGGCCTCATGCATATTAAGCAGGTACCGGCGCCGATTGGGCGCGGCCCTGGGCCCGTTCATTCAAACCGAGCGGCCCGCCGGCATCCTAATGGGCTTATTGCCTCTGCGCTCTGCACGCCCAGCGGGTCGCCGAGAGCTGTGCGGCTGTGGCCCGGTGTTCCCAGCGGCCTCGGCCAAGGGCGGAGGCCAGAGAGATCAAAGCAAGCTGTGTGCCCTCGCTCCCGCTGCGCTGTGGGCTGGGCGCCCCCAGAAGCCTCCCCAGGCCGCTGGCGGGAACAGCTGCTCCTTGCCGAGACCTGGGGTCTGGCCCTCGGACCCTGCCCCAGCCCAGAGAGGGCTGGCTCTGCGCCTGCGGATCCGGCTCACACCCGCCCCTTCCACCAATCGCCCGAAAAGCGACCTCCGCTAGGGCGCTGGGGCTTCATTTCTCCTGCAGCTGCGGGAACGGCGGGCTGGGAGGAAACGGAGTTGGCCAACTAGAGACAGTGTGAGAAACTGTGGTTTTGTGGCCAGGGAATCTGAATCAGTGCGAAGCTCTTAGAATGAATGAATGAATGAATGAATGGGATTTGACTTGGTGTCTTCTTTGCCACTGGCTGGTGGTATGGCCCCGAGCAAGTCACTTTAGGAGGTAGTTTAGGCAATGGTTTTCAAAGTGAGGGGTAGTGTCATCCCTGTAAAGGGCATCTGGAAATGTGTTGGACTTTGCCCCAGGACTGGAAAGTATTTCTGGAATTGAGAGGATGGGATGGCCAGGAAAGCAAAATGCCCACCCACACTGCACAGGAGAGTCACACACAAGGAAGATATGTCCCAGTCCAAATGCTAGCAGCAGCCCTGTTGAAAAATACCCGAGGACCCTTCCTTCTCCTGCAGGAATAACAGAAAAAGGAATGGTGAGAGGAAGGAGGAAATGTTAAGGGTTGAAATTTAGAGAGAATACTGCCAAGGAAGAGACCTGGTCAAGTTTTGTCCCCAATAGGAAGCTATTTCTCACTCCCGTATTTAGAAAGGAAACCCACTAGAAGTTGACTTTAACACACACTTTGTCCCAAAATAGTGGCTGAGCTGGAAGGGTGCAAGGCAGCTGGCCTCACCTGGCGTCGGCCTCCTATCGGCTTCCAGCCTCCTCTCCACACCCAACCCCCTGCAGACGGGCAGGAAGAGTTAGTGGTGCTTTTGATGAGACCCCAGAGGTATCAAGTCTCCATCCCAGATCTCAGTCTACAGAACCTCAGGCATGTAAGGGCCTTAAAGTTGTCTGGTGTCACCGTCTGCACCCTCCAAACCTGCCCAGTGTTTGCCTACCTTCTGCTTGCACACCTCCACTTGGAGGCAGCAGACAACCTCTCTTCCAGGCTGTCCCTTCCAGCTGGGGCCAACTGTGTGGGCAACTTCCCCTCACCGAGCTGAAGCCTGCCTCCTCCACCATCATACAGTCCCATCTCTCACACTTCAGAGAGAGGAGGGCAGGACCGGGCTTTAGACCGGGCGGACAGGCCAACCCCTTGATGACCAGGCTCTCAACACCTACCCTGCCCAGGCCGCTCCTGTATACTAAGTCCCTGTCCTGCCCAGAGGCATGCAGAGGTCCCACCTCAGATGTGACCAGGGCCTCGCTCTGCCAGCACGCCCTAGCCTCTCTAGGCAGCAAGCTTTTCTAGGCCAAAGGTGCCAGCCAGCGCAGGTGGGGTGTGGCGTCCCTCTGCGCCAGCTCTGGTAGCGTAGTGCCGACTGCTAACCAGAAGGCTGGCGGTTCAAACCCACCAGCCACTCCTCGGAAGGAAGATGGGGCAATCTACTTCTATAAAGATCTACCACCTCAGAAACCCAAGGAGGGGTCGCTGTGAGTTGAGTCTGACTCGATGGCACATAACAACAGCTGGTCTAGCTACTGCCCAGTATCCTGGCCACGCTGGAAGCTGTAATTAGTTCACAGGTGCCATGGGCAAGAGAACCACAGTGGTCAGCTGCAGGGCCCCCAGGGACTCCGTGGTGGTCCCCAGCTAGATGGCAAGGGCACAGTTCCGTGTCCCTGCAGCTCATGCACAGCCAACACATACGCGCTAATACCCAGGGTGCAGCCTGAAGGCAAAGCCAGAGCAAGAAGAGCTAGAAGAGACCATACAGCAAACCGTGCTCCCCCAGCGCCCCAAGGACCAGGCTTCCTGCCTGCAGCCCGGCCTGGGGGCCTAGGCTCGGCACACAGACGTCAGTGGTCAAAGACTGCCTCAGAGTCTTCAGTGGAAGTGGCCCCTTCTCTGTCTCTGCACCCGAGAAAACTGAAGCCCTCGGCCTGAAGCTGAGATCTGGGTCCTCGGAACCCCACCGATCTTGGCTATGATGTCTAAGACCATACTGTCCGTGTCATAATGCTGAAGCCATTGCCACAGTTCCCAGCCCCTGCCTCCCACAAACACAGGGACCACACCAAGTCACCAAAGCTGCGTCAGGCTCATCATCTCGGGGCCCTCCGCCCCTTCTCCACGAGCTTCAGGTCGGCGTCTTCTCGGCACATGCCCATTGGTGGCTACAGCCCAAGCCCAGGCCCGGTGGTCTCTGGGACCCTGTCTCAGAATTACATTCCGTCTCCACATGTAATCAATAACAGAAGATGAGGGGACGTGGAGCAGAACTTTGGGCCCTTGGCCACGTCCTCTCACCTCTGCCAGCCTCGGGGCCATCTGTCAAAGGCGATTCTGCCCCTCTTAACCACCAGGCACGGGCCAGTGTGGCTGGGGGGAGGTTGTCAGTGAAGGCGGTTTGGTTGGCACTACTCAAAGGCTGCACAGAGACGGGCTGCAGACCAGTCTGCAAGGTGAAAGGAAGTGACAGGGTGCCAGGGTCTCCAAGGCAGGCTGCCTCCTCCTCCTGAAGAAAAGGCAGGTTTTCCCACCGGCTTGGGGATAGCTGCCGCAGGAAACCTTGGCCAGCCTAGGAACTGGGGGCTCTCTGGGCCTCTGCCCTGGTCCCCCTCTTGGAAAGTGCTTTAACCACACAGTCGCTTCTGAGGCCCCGCCACAGGCAAAGCCTTCCACACATAATCTCAAATCAGAATCCCTTAAGCTGCTCGGTGCCTGGAGAGGTTATGAAAACATGGAAAGTAAATACGAACTAGGACCAAGGGTTGCCAATGCTATTTAAAGAGGCTTTCAGTTCCCGGCGGTTCAAGGCCCCCAGAAGATGCAGAAGAATCCTCGTGGAACAGCAAAAACTGAAAGGCTGACTCCTGGGCCCCACCCCCTCACCCAGGTTGGGGGCCTGAGGCTTAAAGCTGACCTCCCCACCAGCCAGTCTCCTTTGAGGATTCAGCGCAGACCTGGGGGCAGGGATGACACGTGATTGTGGAGCGGTTTAGTAGGGAGGCTGGGAGCCTTTGTAAGTTCCTGTCTTCCCAGGTCTCGAGTCTTTGGTGAAAGGATTCTAGGCCTTCTCACACCCTTGGCCTCCCCCTACTCTTCTGAAAAGGACCTGTGCTCCAATGCCGGCAGCTCCTCCCGCCCCACCCTGCGTCCTCACTCCCCGCCCATCCACTGTCCCTTCAGCTCACAGTGCAAGTTGCATTCCACCTTTTTACCCATAAACCGCGCCAAACCCACTGCCAGTCAGTAGATTCCAACTGGCAGTGACCCTACAGGACAGAGTGGAACTGCCCCATAGAGTTCCCAAAGCTGTCAATCTTGACAGAAGCAGACTGCCTCATTTTTGTACGGCGGAGCAGCTAGTGGGTTCCAACAGCCCACTTCTTGGTTAGCAGCCCAGTGCTTTAACCACAGCGCCACCAGTGCTCCTCTTCCTCCTTCTTCTTCTTTCTTCAACCCATAAAAAAACCAGAAACCAAACTCACTGTGCCCGAGTCTGCCTGAAGCTTGGCTCCTTGCTCTTCCTGGAGGTACAACCTTATCATTTGAGGCATCCCCCACAAATCTTTGTGGCTCTCTTCCTTTCCGTCTATTTAGCACCGCAGCCGCCCAACCTAAACTCCCCTACCCTGCTCCCTGCTTCATTTCTCTACAGGCACTTAACAGCAGGTACCGTTTAAACATTTTGAACCATTTCTTCCTCATTGTGGTAAAGTATATGTGTAACAAACCTTTATTAAGAAGCTCTGCTGGTGCAGTGGTTGAAGTATCTGACAACCTTGGAAACCCTACCAGGTAGCTGTGCTCTCCACGGCAGGGGATGTGCAGTTGCCATATCAACTCATGGCGACCCGGGGGGGGGGGGGCTTCACACGGAACTGCGTTCCTTTTGGCAGCAGATGAGCAGGCCTTTCTTCTGAGGCCCCTCTGCGTGGATTCTAACCTGCAACCGCTCGGTTAGCAGTCTGAACCGTTTGTGCCACCGGGACTCCTTTTCACCCATCTAAACCAAAACCAAATCCACTGCCATCAAGTCGACCCCGACTCATAGCGACCCCTCCTTGGGTTCCCGAGATAGTATCGTATCTCTACCGATAGTAGATTGCCCCATCTTCCCTCTGAGGAGTGGCTGGTGGGTTTGAAACCCCAGCCTTCTGGTTAGCAGTCAAGTGCCTTAGGCATTATGCTAGCAGAGCTCCTGTTTTCAGAGCCGGAAAGAGCTTTCCTGGCCTTCTAGGCCAGCCTCCTGGTGACACAGTGGGCCCAGTGGCGGAAGGAGACTTGCCTGAGGCCACAGGAGTTTGTGGCTGAGCCAGAGTTTGGATCGCTGCTCTCTTGAACCTCAGTGTCACGCTTGTCCTGCTCTTAATAACTGCTCACCCCTTGTGAGACCAAGGACCTTGGTGACCTGCCGGAGAGGCCAGACCCCTAGAGGAGGGCTACAGGCTGTAGACGGCAGCCCCACCCAGCGTAGAAACCTGATGGGAGGCCCGCCTGCACCGCCTGCCGCGAGTGCCCCGGTTCAAGGCCTCAGGGACCTCGCTGGGGCGCAGCGGGAGTGTGCG